ATGTAAATGTTATTTAAAATTGAACCATGTAGCATACTACAAGCACTAACCTTTTTGCTTTCCCTGGAACTAATAATTTTTCCTTTTGTTTGGCATATTAATTATCATGAACTCAGCTCCAAACTTTCCCTCCACCCTGTCTGTAACGCTCCTCTCAAAACATTCAAACATATTTCTCAATTTCATCTACTTGAAGTTTTCTAGAAACTTCTGACGTGCTCCAGTCTGGCCTGGTGGCCTCCAGGGCACAGCTGTCTTCTTGGACTTCTCCTTCAGCAGCACCTGGGATGACTTTTACCTCTCTTGTGTTGGAGCTCTTAACACCTCTTCCTGGGTTTACTTCCTCATTTTGGTAAAGCACCTCCCTCAGCTTGAGAAAGGGGGGCCTGGAAAGCCATGAGCAACTCAAAGTATCTTGATTTCACCCTCATATTTAATTAGGATAGTCGGGCTAGGTATCGAATTAAACATGGTTAGACGGTATTTTCCAATTTTAAAATTTAAGAATTTTAAAGGCATTGCTCTACAGTCTTGTAGCTCCCAACACTGCTAGAAAGCCCAGAGCCATTCTAATTCTTGTTCCTTTGTGTGAACCCATTTTTCCTCTCTGGAAGCTTATGGGATCTCCTTTGTTCTCAGTGGCCCTGAAATTTCATGCTGAAGTATCTAAGGTGTGAGTCTGTTTCCATCCATTGTTTTGGGTGATCGATGGGCTCTTTCAATCTGGAAAACCATGGTTTTCGGTGCTGGGTATTTTTCTTGAGTTATTTTATTGCCAATTCCCTCCTTTCTGTTTTTTGCTTTTCTTTTTTTCTGATATTCTCATTATCTGGACATTGGACTTTCATCTTTTTTAATCACTCTTTCCCTATTTTCTTTATTGTCCTTTTGCTTTATTTTTTGAGATGTGTGCTCAACATTATCTTCTAACACTGCTACTGAGTTTTTAATTTGTATTATTACACTTTTAATTTCCAAGCGTTCCTTTCTATTCTTTTTCTAGAGAAATAAACATTATACTTTTGCGTCATGAATGCATTCTTTTCTAAGAATTCTTTATATATATAATATATATTATATTGTATATATATTATCTATATATAATATATATATATATCAATCTGCCATCTTTAACTCAGTCTTTCTTTATGCTTTTAAAAAAAAATTTTACTGAATAAGTATATATGCTACTCTACAAAGCAGGAGAAATAGGATTTTGTTATGTTTCCAACCATTTTTTTCCTGTCTTTTGTTTATGTCGTTGACTTCATATTGTATTTACATTTTCCACTTCTACACCATTAACTGCCCCATCAAAGGGACCATTCCTGTCGACATTGCCAACAGGCTTAGCAATGCCCACCTTAAGCAAACAAGGACCCCCGCCACCCCCAGCTGCTGCCCGGTATTTCCACTCCCCACTCACGGGTAAACGTGAAACAACTGTTGCTATGTGCTCTCTCCACTTCCTCACGCCCCATTCACTCCATAGGCTTCCGCCCCACCACCTCTCTCTTGCTAAGGTCACTCATGGTGCCAGTTTGCAGATCCAATGGCCACTTTTCAGTCTTTGCGTTAGTGAGCTGCACTACAGGACTCATCACTGTTGACCCCACTCCCTCCTTCTGGAAACAGTCTTCTCTTGAAATATCCAGTGAGGCACTACCTTAATTTCTTGCTATTATTCTGGTCACTCCTTCTCTTTCCTTTGATTCTCCTTGTTCCTTCTTCTTTTTCCAAATCCTACAACTGTGGTTTTCAACCCTGGTTGCACATGGGAATCATCTTGGAAGCTTTTTAAAAAAATACGAGTATCATACACTTAGGCCTCACCCAGACCAACACATTCCAAATCTCCATACCTGCGCTAAAACTCAGGGCTCCCAAGGGCCTGGCCGGTGCTCTCCTCCCTTTTTCTGCAGATGGGGTCAGTTGATCCAGTCTAGCTACCAATGCCCAAATGTCTGTCTCTATTCAAATCTCTTTTTTTTTTTTTTGAACTCCAAACTCTTTTATTCAGCTGCTTTCTCAACACTTTCTCCGATGTGTCACAGGGATCTCAACCTGATGTTTTCTTGTCATATCCCCAGACATGGAACCTTCTGTTGTCCCCCATCTCCCCTCTTACTCAGGTCACAGCCCTGGGGGTTACCCTGACGCTTCCTTCTCCCTAACATTCATCATGCACCAATCTCTAAGTCCTTCCTAGGCCACCGCCAAAATACGCGTGTGTACCTCCACTTCTCTCCCTGGCTGTGCCACGGTCGCCTACCTGGACCTCAAAAGGTCTCCCCGCTTCCAGTCTCATCCCTCCAGGGAGTTCTCCTCGGAGCAACTGGAACTACCACATGGTCTTTAGGTTTCCACTAAACACCCCACTTCTCCAAAGTGGCCTTTCTGCAATCTCCCAGTCTCACTAAGGTCCTCCATGCTATCTCTCACATAGCCCTGGACGCTCGCTGGTCTTCACAGCTCAGCAGCGTTAGTGACTGTATTTTTATATATGTGGGGGATTTTGGTTGTTATCATCAGGCTCTTGACACGGTACCTGGTACAAAACATATTTGATGAACTATTACGTAATAAACATACAAGTGAAACTTACAATATTAAAACTCTTCATAAACATGATTTCAGTGGCCATATAACAGTCTATCATAATGTCATATAATTATTTGTACACCTTCATCCATTTCTGGATTCTTTTCCATACTACAGACTCTTAGAAAGGAAATGATTAGGTCAAGTATAGAAACATTTTGAATATTTAAAGCATATTTTAAGACTAGAAAATATTAAATTGCTTTCTAAAAACACTGAAACGACATGCAGTGTATGAGAACGTGGATTTCAGCCATGCCTTCTGGTTTATTTGTTTTACTCTCTGATAATTTGCAGGTGAAAATGACACGTGGCTTCTCCATTACCGCCCTTCTGGGGTCATGAGTGGGAGCCCCCACTCTGTGTATTTGGAGAGCAGGGTTGATCTCTGAATCATCTTTGGATCTCCTTGCCCTTAGGGATCCAAACCATCCATAACAGTTTAGTGAATGAATTTACTTAGCCAGTCCATACAATTGCTGTGCTTGCTCTCTGGGACTATGAAAACTCTCAACTTTCTAGACTTTCCCACCTGGTATCACACCACTGGGTCTTGCCCAGGGCTGGCTTTGCAGCCGCCCTTATAAAGGAGAAGACACACAGACAGACAGGTTACACTGGCATGTTCGGAGCTCTGACAACTGCAGCTATCGGAACCACCCTGCTATCCAGAGGCCAGGGCCTGTGGTTTCACACACAGGCGCAAGCTGAAGGCCAGCCCTGTGGAGCAGCCTCTCCTGTCCTCCCTCCCAGGCTCCAAGTGGCTGGAGAGGGTTAGTGGGACAAACGGCACATTCCAAGCCGCCACTCCCCACAGAAAGCTCAGGCCGTGGACGTGTGTGCCAGCCCAGGGCAGAGTGGCTTGGGGTAATTTGCTTTTCGATTCTGGCCCCACTCTGTGGGAGGCCCACCTATGATGAGGGTGTGACAAGTGGCCAGAGGAAGGGGGTCAATGCTGTCATTCAAGCCCTTCTAGGAAGATGCTAGAAGAGGAGCACCTGGACCACAAAACTGCGCCGGAACATCAGACTGGGTTTCAGGACGTTTACCCCAAATCACCTCGCCCGTCGTCTCATTCTCTGCCGTCTTTCTTATTTCTTCCGCTGTGAACTTCTCACTTCCCACTTGGTCCTTGTTTTCGGATGTAGCCACTCACACCTTTCAGACACAGACTTACTTTCCTCCAAACGAAAGATCCCTCTGCCACGTGCCATATTTTGTCCCCGATGCCCCATTCTTATCTACTTTTAAGTCCATCTTTTCTGTCTGCCAGATGAATTCAGGGTCAGCCTCTCCCCTCGATTTAAGTCTCTAGGCAAAATCTCTAGAAAGAGGTGGCGCGGATTTCCCTGAAAGATGCCAGCCAGCACTTATTCTCCCACAGGGCTCTGTCTCTTCTGTAAGTCACCTTCGCTCTTAGTCCACAGGGATGACACCACTGTGTGTCTAGGCCTTGTCCTTGGAGCCAGTTTACAGGTCCCAGAATGAATGACATTACTTCATAACAAGACCTGACTGCTGGCCGTAGCATGTCCCTCTGCTAGATTATTCTCCAAAAGAACCAGTGATGTTTGGCTACAAAAAGACAAGGATCTGCTTCCCCTGAAGACCTTCGAGGTGAGTGATGCAGGTCCGCAGGCAGTTCTAAACCGGCCGTATCAAAACGAACCACATACCATGAAAGCAGCCACAGTGCAAGTGTGCGGGCTACTGGTAGGGCCGGTGCAGAAGGGACAACACCCCATGCAGAATGACAACAGCTGGTGTTTACTAGGCCATCGCTACGTGCCAGGCACCACACTCAGCCCTAGGTATCAGTACCAGTCCCATTTCATAGATGAGGAAACCAGGCCTCCAAAAAGGCCAGATAGCTAAAATCATACTGCTAGCAAGCAGAGAAGCCGGATTCAAACGCAGGCAGTCTGACGCTGGAGTCAGCACTGCAGCCGCATGGCCAGTCCTGCCTGCCACCTCTCTGCCACACCATCTCACCTTCTCATCTAACACTGTTCTGCACATTGTAGGACATTTCGGGTCAAGTCCATGTCTGTCCCTACCCATCCACTGACTGGCTGCAGGACCGGGATGTGGCCCTTCTCCGGGGAGCTCCAGGATGCACAAGCACCCTGACGAGTGACTGCCTTTCTTTCAGTTCTTGTTTTGTTTCCTGCAGAGCGTGAGGTGATAGTCATGTCAGAAACTCCCTGAGACAAGGAACTCGACGGCGCACCTGTTTATCAGCCTGGCAATCAAGGAGGCCCCAAGCAGGCCCAGCACCTGCAGACAGACCACGTTCCTGCACACACCTTGTTAACATATCCATCAGGGTCTACTTTGGATTGTAATGCCCCACACTGAGAGATCTAGAAGGCAGATCTGGGCCACTGGCAGCCACTCACCAGCACTGGGGTCTGCAGGCGTCTCGCCCTCCTCAGAGTCTTCCTGCTCTTGCATGGTCGGCCTCTCCCCGCGCTCCATCTGTGACATGAGGTCTGGTTTGGAAATTGCATAGTCTGGACAGAAGGAAGGAAAGAAGAAGATATACTATGGGGTGAGGGTGCACTGGATGCTGCAAAGGTGTCACCTGCTTTTAAGTGTGACACCAGGAGCACCTGCGGCTAGCAATGTTGGAGAGAAACTGGCCAAGTTTCCAGCCCTTTTCTTGGGGACTATTGTGTGAGTGTGCACACGTATGTGTGTGCTAACCACATACTGTGTTCTCCCATGTGGGACAGGTGGTGGGGCACCGCCTGCCACCAATGGAAACTGGCCCTTTTGAAACTTGTCACTCCTGTTGCTCACAGGTAGCCAAAGCCTGCTCAGCTTTTTCATGACAAAGTCACATGACATTTGCAATTTTGTAAAGCGAAAAACTAATTCTGATAAAATCTAGAAGCCATAACACAAAACACTGATAGATTTCTTTACATTCAAAAAAATGTTTCAAGTTCTTTGGAAATAAAGTTAAAAGATGAAGACACTTGGAGGAACTATTATTATACACACACATTTGTCATATGTAAGGCAAAAGGTTAATATCCATAATTATATATAAATAGCCTCTATAATTAGTAAAAAATAAAAAAGCAAAGATATGAATAAGCAATTCAAATAAATGAAAATAGCCAGTAAACATATGAAAAGATGCACAAGTTCACTAATCATCAAAGAAATACAGATTAAAATAATGAGGTGTCATTTTCACCCAATCAAAAAAGACAAATAGGTATTTAAAATAGAAGAACATCACTTCCTGCCAGGGTAGGGAGAAATGGCAGTCACACACGGATGCATAAACATACGCAGCCTCTGGAGGGTGCCGTAGCAGTGGCCGTGGTATTGTAAATGTGCCCCTTCTTTGCTCTGCAACCCACTTCTGGGAATCCAAGCCACTGAAATACTCAGGTAAGTGCACAGATACACAGGGGTATTTATGGCAACAGTCTGTAACAGTGAAAAGACATAACCCAGCTGCTGCTCATCAAATGCCACCTTTCTTATTCCCAAGCAGGCCTATGTGTGCTGACACAGAAAGCTGTCTGCGACCTACCATTAGGTAAAATAAGTGAATGTTCCCATTCACTTGTAAACTACAAACTGTGTGTGCATGACTGCAAGCATCGTGTGTATGTTTGCATGTGAACAACAACAACAAAAAAGATGAGAAACCACATGGGCCAACGTGGTTACCTCTGGGGAGTGGTACTGGAGGGAGGGTGGGGGTTGCTCTTTATTACATAAATCTAAATTGCTGAATTTTCAGTTATGTATATACTTTAAAAAGAAAAAAACAAATTAAAAAAAGTTATCCCATGGAGAGATATATGTGTATAAAATTAACAATTCTAGCAAGCATCAACATTTCTAGACAACAGAGTATTTAACATTTTTCTAACTTTTTCATGTTCCCTAACAGTGACCTATATCAGAGAAAAAGATACACATAAAACTGAAGTATAGTTATTCCAGGTTTTCATCCTTAAATACTGTTATTTAATGAAAACAAGAATCCACAGAATTTGGGGCAAACTGGGCTCTGGAGTAGAGTGTCCATGTCAGTCTCAGATCTCAGTGAAATTGTGACTTCCTGGGGGGAATCTAGGACCTCCCGGGGTCACAGCCTCTTCTCTACACCATGGGGACAGGAACCCAGGGGACATAAGACCTCAACAGATGACAGTGTTCAGTCACCTGAACAGTAATACAGAAGGGGCCCACACCTGTCCTAGCTCCCTTACGAAGAGGCAATGAGGACTAAATGATGTGATTCTTGCAAAGCACTTCACACTTGCTTAAAAATACTTTGCTGGACAAACTAATTTAAAAATACACATACAGAGCCCATGGGAAAATAATATAAAGGTCAGAGACCACTGAGTCTGCCTTCTCCCCTTGCCCCAGCGGCCTCTCTGTGGAGTGCCACCTCCATTACGAGCTGTCGTGACGTGTGCTGCGCTGACGTTCGTGGCTATGTGAGGGTGTTTTTCTCATTTGTTTTGCTCTCTAACACTCAGTTTTCCTTGTTTTCGAGTATGGGTGGTACTGGGGTTCAGAACTCCCAAAGGTTCCAAGTGCACCTCAAGCCAGTGTCAAGGCAGCCCAGCGAGTGACGCCTCCTCCTTACCCATGGAAACCAGAGACTCGTAGTTGCCTCTCATCACGTTCTTGTAGAGCTCCTTCTGCCACTCGGACAGGTTCCCCCACTCCTGCTCCGAGAAATGGACGGCGACGTCATCGAATGTGACAGGGACCTAAAACCATACAACAAGCTCAGCTGGGACCAACTGGAAGGCAGTCACAGGCCCTTGGCTGCCAAATCCCAATGGGGCAATGAACAGCCCCAACCCCCTGGCCAGACTCAAACACCTCTTCTTAGGACCAGAGGGGGAAAGGCCCAAAGGCACAGCTCTGGGGCGTCACCTCTCTAAGTCTGGCCAGGCCTGGGCCACTGTCCCCACCCCACAGAGTAAGGTGCTTTTCCTCTCTAATGGGATAATCCTCGCTGCTGTCAAGCACGGTGTGCAGACCAGCAGCAATAGCACCACCAGGGAACTTGCTAGAAATGCAGACTCTCAGGCCTCACCCTAGATCCATTAAATCAGATTCTGCATTTACTAAGATCCCCAGGCGGTTCACGTACACAATATAATTGGAGAAGTGCTGGCCTAGAGAATACAGTCCAAGCTGCTTCCTATATAAGGCCCTGGAAAAAGGCAGCAGCCTCAAAGGATGGAAAGAAATCCAGTCCACAGCCACAGGCAAGTTCTTGCAGAATCTTCTGGGAAATATTAAAACCTAACCGTTCTCTAATTTTTTGGGGAGCCCTCTTGAAACCACATTTTTACTGGCATTAACATGATTTATAGGTCGACTGATAAAAATGCTGAGCCTGACAGAGCGCCATGATACTTCCCCGAGTTCTCCCTGCACCCACCGGTGAACCTCTCAGTCATACTGACTGTAAAGCCTCGCTACCTCTCTCTCACTCGGCCTATGCTCTGCTCTCTTGTCCTTTCAGACTTCACGGACTGAACGCCCTTCTAAACTGACAATCCCATCTCTAGGACATTCTCCAACCTATTAACCTATGCTTTTATCAACAGAAGAAACAATTTGACTGGGGCTGCCCTGTTCTTAATGAAACAATGTTGGCAACTATGTATCATTATATATTTTTTATTTCTTAACCACTGCTTTCCTCTTCTTTTATATTAAACTGAATTCCTAAAATGCATTCCAGTTCAGATCACTCTTTGGGACCCCCAGTCGGGACAGGCTTACCTTGGGAACTTCTCCATTGCTGCCCGGGGGCAGCCGCAGGATCCAGAAATTTCTGTTTTTCAGCAGGTTCTCCATGTTCTCCAGCCGCCTCTGCAGCAGCCCGTACTCCTGCAGCAGGGTCCCCAGTACAACCCATTTGCTCTCCAGATGGTTTGCGAACTCCACGGCTGTCTTCTCACAGTCGGCTATCTTTTTCTCATTTGTCCCCGTCCGTCCCTCCAGGGTCAGCAGCCTCATGGCCTGGGCCTCCAGTTTCCTCTCCACCGCTTGGACGGCAGCCCACACGGCCAAGCGGGTGATCTCTGCCGTCGGGAGTGGCATGTCCTTCTGGGCTGCAGAAGAGATCTGGAAGGGGGTGTCCTTTTGAGAAACTGGGCTCTGGAGTAGAGGGTCCATGTCAGTCTCAGGAACTGTGGGGGAGAGGCTGAGGGGGTCCTTCTCAGGAACTTCAGGGGAGTGGAGTGGGGCTTCCTGGTGGTGGGTGGAGTGAGAGTGAAGTGAGATTTCTTGTTCAGCAGAAGCTGGGGCTGGATACTGGGTCTCTTCCTGGGAAGTCAGGGGGCCCTGGAGCTGTGTCTCTTGCTCAGAGGCGGCAGGGTACAGGAGTGAGGGTCCCTTCTGCTGCATGTGCGGCATCCGGCCGGAGGTCTCTTGCTTGGGAGTATGGGGTAAGGAACCTTGCCGGGGAATGCTGGGAGACAGAGAAGGAATTTCCTTGGGGGGAAGAACACGAGACTGGAACAGAGCTTCTCGGGGGAGTCCAGCAGGGGCCTGCCGTGGGGTTTCTTCTGGCAGAATATTGGGGAATGACAGAGGCGATGCGCGCTGGGTCTCCATGTCCAGCTGCTGGACCTGTATTCAAGGAAAGGGCAGGATTGAAGGCCATAGTTTCCAGCTGGCGAAATAATGCCAAAGATAAGCACCCACATTAAAAGGACTTTAATTCGATATGTTCCGTGGGCATGAATCTTTTCTTGAGACCCTAGCACTGATTCAGACATCAATTATAAAACTCTTATTAACAACCAATAAAAAGTTATGCCACCTTCTGCTCTTTATAGAGCCCTTTCCTTTCTCCTAAGGTACATTTCACAGGTACCTCACCTCGCAGGTGAACATGACATCCAGCCCCACTGCTTCTACTTGAGTTATCAGGCAGTCATGGTGCCTATGCTAGTTCCCTCACTTTGTCCAATAGTGAAGACACACAATGACCTTAAGTTTCACACCCTTGACAAAAGCCGAATTGTTGAGATCAATAAAATTCCTCCAAGAGTTTTATGGTATGGGTTGACTGTGACACATGTTATGTGGACCCCAGGCCCTATTGCAGAGGCCGAATGGCCTTCTGGGCATTCCAAGCTGGCTCCTGCTCTAAGCAGAGACAGAGGAGACACAGGCAGGCGTGGGCAGGGCAATTCAATTGCTCTTGCAGGAGCCAAGGCCCCCTGGGTAGATAGTCCACTGCGGTAGGTGTACCCTGGAGGTCTAAGCTCCTCCCCATGGTTCGTGAGGTGTCGGAGGAGAAAGAAAGGAGGCCTGGAAGCAGAGCTGAAGTCAGCCAGTTTTGTGACTTGCGTCAAGATCGGTGGGGACTAGAACCAAAGTAAAGATGGATTCCTTTTGGGATTTCAATTAGTTACACTCTCCCTGTTCCCCACCTTGACACATCCATGTTGAGAGCATTCTTATGCCATCAAGGACTTGAAGCCAAGGTCTTCTGAGTGACCAGTTCTGTATTTACCTATCCAGACGATCAATAGCTTTATTGGGACTGAATAGAATCTCTCCTATAACAATGTTTGGCCATTTCCTCATCAGTGTCCTTCAGTGAATCTACTAAATGCCAATTACTATGCACCATATACAAGTGCTCTTTAAAGTACTTGAAATTCCCATTTTGTTTGATGTCCTGGTGACCAGCCTGATATATAGTATGTGCTCAATAAATGTGTGCTGCATAAATGAACAGTATAAATTGTTATGAGAAAAAAATTATTAGGTGAAATTATGAAGTTCCTTCAGTCATTTACCAAAGATCATCTAACCCTATTAGTATTTTCTATTGCTTTTCCATCCATTCATTCATTCATTCACTTAATGGTCTCTTAACTGAGATAGCATTACATTTTTAAGACCTCGTTCAGGCAAAAGCAGTTTGAGGTAGCATGATCGGACAGTTTTTCAGCTGATCAGATGTGAGAGCTAATAAGTGGGGTGATAGCTAATAACTTTTAGGCATTTATTATGTGCCATGAACTGTGTTAAGCATTTTAAAGGGGGTATCTCATTTAATCCTCATAAAACCCTATGAAATAGAAACTACTAGAGTTATTATCCACACTTAGCACATGAAGATGCTGAGACTTGGAGAGACTAAGTAATTGCCCAAGGTCACACAGTGGTTTGGCGCCAGGGCCCGGGTTCCAATGCACACTGTAGGTCACCTCCAGCATCCGTCAACTGAGGCAGCTGGTTGGTGCTCTGAATCCTTTTTACCTCAAAAATTCAAAGGCTTAGTGATTAAACAAAGATCTGTGGGAGGTTCCATCACGGGGGAGGTAGGAGGCCCTGCCTGTAAAGACATTTCCATTTAAAGCTGGGGTCAAGGATCCCTTTGAAGACCTAATGAAAGTTATGGATTCTGCCCCTCAAAAAAAAAAATGCACATGGGCACATACACAAAATTCTGCAAACACTTTTAAGGGATTGACAGACCCCTAAACCTGAAGGCTCATGAACAACTAAGCCGCCTCTCAACTCTTCACTCTTCACAGGTGAGGGCAAGATGGGAAGGACCTCTTGGGTGGGAGCCTCAGACACAGGGAAAGTGACTCGCATAATGCAACACAATAGACACATTATGGCCCCATCCTCAGAGGGGGATTAGGGTATTTGCCTACAACTAGTAGGAAGAAGGGAAAAATCCCCTGCGGCCAAGTTAGTCTCCCTGAGTAATACAGGGGGTTTAACTGAAACAATGAAAACAAGCTCCGGTACAGTAAATAAAGCCAGCAGAGCAAGACATCTTTACCAACTAGGCTAATCAGAGCTCAAAGGAAAATACCATTTCTTCACTCTCTATTATGTGACGGTCTCTCTCCATTTCCGGAATTGGAGGACTATGGAAGGATGAGGGGGGCCACAGGAGCATGCCCCCTCTCCCGCACCAAAACAAAAGCCCCTTGCTATCATTTCATAATGGCTTCATTAAACTCTAAGCAGAAAGAAGTGGCCAAAGAGAGGGATGGAGCTATAAATATTATACCTAAGATTAACAAGCTTGTATTCTCCATCTGTTTTTTTTGTTTGTTTGTTTTTTTGAGGGGGGGATGTTAGAATTCTTCTGAACTGTATTTCACAGGATTTAACTGTCCCTCCCTGGTCCATATAACCTCAGTGGATGGGGGTCTCCAGGGTTCATGCCCCATGAGCAGAAAAATACATAACCACACGTATCTGCCTCTTAAAGGGAGACGTGCCATTTTCTTGTATGACCCAGTGTGATTCCTCTAGAATTAGACAGCGCCCTGCAGACTTAAGTCTGGAGGTAAGCGTTTTAAAACCTTCATTTTATTTTATTTTCCCAAGAGTTGTATTATTATTTTTTAAGAACCACGAGGCTCTTGAGAAAGCCGTACATAGCCTACATCCCGACCTCTTCCTGTACACAACAGGAAACTGAGGCTCAGAGGCACTGACTCCCATGCAGCAATCCTGCCAGCATGGCTGCTGCATCTCCAAGATCAGGGCTGTGGGGAGACTTGAAGACGTGTGAGAACGGCCCCCAGACGAGACGCAGCAGCCCCTAAACCCTCAGGAGTTCGCTCCCCAGACCCCATCCGTCTGAACACCTAAAGTTTGGCCTGGGGCCCTCCAGATGCGGAGGCTGGAGGCCGAGGCGCCCGAGCCCGAGGGTCACCTGCTCCTCAAGGCAGAGACACGGAGACGCTGGGCTGGGCGCTGCGCCGCCTCCCATCCAGCCATCAGCCCCCCCACACACCCCTCCCCGACGGGCCGCGTCCACCGCGCCCCAGGCCCAGGCCCCTAACCCGGGGGAGGCCGCCGCCGGGGCCGCCCCCTCCCCGTCCAGGCCCGCGGCCCGGAGGCAGGCATTTCTGGGGACCCGGGCACCGTGCCACGGATGCCTCGCAACGTGACCTTGGGGCGGGCAGGGCAGGTCGCCGCCAGGCGTCTGTGCCTCAGTGTCTCCGCTCCGCGAAATGGGGAGAGCCGCGTCAGCGCCGCGCTGCGGCCGCGCTCTGCGGAAAACGTGCGGCGGCAACCCCGACGGACGCAGCGCGGGCTCCGCAGGGAGCGAGGCGCGCCGCC